TGCCCATCCCATTCCTTCCTTCCCCGTACTTTTTTACCAGGAACCATCCACCAATACAGTCACCTCTAGACTTGCATCTCGAGGATTGCTTATTAGATCTCCTTCACTACCAATGTTCACTCTAGCAAATCCCGGCGGTGCACCACTGTCATCTATGGCCTGGGCTGAAAGAGTGCTTCTCGCTTCCAACCTTTTCCAAACACATAAATTTCTCATAGCAGAGTTGTAATTCCTGAATAAGTCCACCAGATACCCTCCCTCATTATTAAACACCCTTCTATTCCTTGTCAGCCAAAGGCTCCAAAGCACTCCAATGAAATTATTAATTCTTTCACTATTTCTTCCATCCTCGCTAATAAAAAGCAGGATATATTTCTGAATCCAGTGTTGCAGTGGAGTAGATTCATCAAGTTCAGAGAAGATATGCAGCGGGCAATTCTACCAAGCATACCTTACAAAAGAGCACATCCTAAATAAATGTTGTAGATCTTCCGTTGCCATACCACAAGAATCACAAAGTACCTCTACCTCCACCCATCTATGAGCCAAATTTGACTTAACTGCCAAACCATTCATAATAAGCTTCCAGAGGAATAAGCTCCATTTTGGCGGTATGTTGAGCTTCCAAATGAGCTTGTAAAAATCAAAATCATGAAAACACCCTGTTGCAAATAAAAATCACGCATTAGAAAAGTGTACCCCAACTTCAAAGTATACAATCTTAAGGAATGACCCCCCCTCCCCAATAAAGAACATCCTGCTCCTTAGATGATGGTAACTCCATTTCCAGAATCTTCTGTGCCGTACTCCATTTGAATTTGTCCCTAATGATTGCCGCATTCCAAGACCTAGATTCATGTAAAATCAGATCTGTAACCCTCCATACCAACCCCACGGAGGAGTTGGTTCAACTTAAATTCTAGAACCAATCCCTACACCCACTTCATATTGGCAATCTTAACTCTATTCCCATTCCCTATTTTCCAGTGGTAACCCTTCACTATCTTTTTTGCCACATTATACAAACCTCGCCTTCCCTAAGAAGCATTTCCACGAACCCCTCGCATTATATCCCCTACACACAAAGAGCAAGAATGGTCCGGCGCTAAAGCACGAGCCACCAACAACTGTGGATTGCAATGCATCCTTGCCACTTGTTTAAACATTAAGGCATCATTCAAATAAGCCATAGATCTAATACCTAGGCCACCCATACCTTTTGGCAGTTGGATAGTCTCCCTTTTCATCCAATGCATTCCTTTTTCCCCCTTATTTCCCCACCAAAACTAAGTAATCATCGAATCAATCTTGTTAGAGATCGAAATAGGCAATTTAAAACATTTCATCACATGAGATGAAATACTAATCAACATAGTGTTGATAAAGACTAGTTTTGCCGCCTGAGACAATTTTAAAGAACCCCATGATTAAATCCGTTTATAAACCTTATCAACTAGAAACTGGAAGGCAGCCTTTTTCCCTGTGGAAAAATCAATTGGTGCCCCCAAGTGTCAGTCCTAGGTCGAGACTTAGCCAATATTCAGAATATCTTTCAACTCCTCTATTTCTTCCGGCTTAGCCCATTTGCTAAACTTGACAAAAGATTTATTCAATTTTAACTGCTGCCCCGAAATATCCCCGAATCTCTGCAAAATATCCACCACATTCTGATATGAGGTTGTTGTCGCCTGAACAAAACCATATCGTCGTCTGCAAAAAATAAATGTGAAATCGGGGGTGACCTCCTCGTTACTCGAAGCCCCTTAATCTGATTAACATTTTCTACCATTGAAAACATACGTGACAAAATATCCATACAGAACAAGAACATATGAGGGGATAGAGGGTCACCCTGACATAACCCGTACTCCGGCTTAAAAGCCTCCGAAACCTACCCATTAATTAAAATCTTGTAGGACACGGTTGAGATACATTGAGAAATCCACTGTATCCAACTTGTCGGGAAACCACACACCCTAAGAACTCTCAGAAGGAAACCCCAATTCACTCGGTCATAAGCTTTTGACATATCCAATTTTATCACCGCCTTCTTAGAAGTCCCATTACTCGTATTAATTAAGTGCAAAAGCTCATGGCTTAGCATCACATTATCCTCCACACATCTCCCCGGCACATATGCATGCTGATACTCTGAAATAAGATCTAGTAGAAGGGATTTCATCCTATTTACTAGACATTTGGCTATGCATTTATAGATTTTATTGCATAGGCTAATAGGCCTAAACTGCTATGCCAATTCAGGAATATCAACTTTTGGAATCATAACTAAAGGAGAGGCATGAAGCTCTTTTAATAAGTAACCTGTAGAAAAGAAGAATTGTGCCGACTCAACCACTGAGGTGCCTAGGCCACCTTCTCCCAATTCTGATAAAAGAATTCTGCAATGAAACCGTCTGGACCTGGAGCCTTAAGATTATGAATAGAGAACATCGTCTTTCTAATCTCTTGATGTGAAAAAGGTCGGATCAAATACTCTGCATTCGAGTCTGCTATTAAAGGTAGATCTAACTCCCGCAAAACCTAATCAATCCTTTCAATTCCATTATCCATAGACACTAAAGGTGGATTATACACCTCCTTTAGAGTATCTCTAATGAAAACCTCCAAATTCTTTTGTCCAATAACCCAGGTATCCTCGTCACTCCTAAGAGTAACAATCTCCCTCCTCTTTTGTTGTTGTTTAACTCTATTGTACATCATTATCGAAGAAACATCCCCCTCCTTTATCCATTTATCTTTCATTCGTTGTTGCCAGTACTTAAACTCCAACTTACTCTGAGAAATAGTATCATTAATAGCCTCCACATAGCTATTACCTTGTTGCACAGTAGTAATTCTCCCTCCCTGCTCTTGCAACTCAGTGGAGTACTTCCTCCAATTAATACCCCACACTTTTTTGTTGTCCAAGCACCATTTTTTTAATCTTACTCCTTAGCCACTTGGAACGTTGAAGTTCCTTGAACATAGGAGAACCATTACACTCCACCTCCCAAGCCTCATCAATGAAAGACTTAATCTCCGGAAACATTAAACACCAAGTCTCAATTTGGTATGGCCTATTTGACTTCAAAGATTGAGAATTTGAGTCATAAATAATTGCCGCATGGTCCGACGCCGTGATTGGTTCGTGAATAACTCGTCCCTCCGGAAACTCATTAAACTAGTGCGAAGAAGTATAAACTCTATTAAGCCGTTCCATAATCAAATCCGTACCTGAACGTTTGTTAGTCCAAGTATAACGTGGTCTCGTAAAAGAAAACCTCTAGTAAATCCGTTTGAAACCTCCAATCTAGGAAAACATCCAACCCCTTTTCAAAGGTGAATTTGTCACTAAAATACTCCAATTGATTTATGTGATAGAGGTTTTAGTTTATATAAAATCGCTATCACTAATATTAATTTTATACTCCTCTTATTTTAAATGTTCTTTCTATTTTTTATTGTACACGTTTGCAATGCATTACTTTGACCATAAATTTCTTTAGTTGCATATTAATTATAAAAAAAAACCATAACAATTGAATATTATGAAACTACATATTGAGACAAAAATGTTGATTTACGATTTCAGTGTTGCTAGGAATTGAGTTATAACTTGGACATGTCATATATATTTGTAAAACAAATTTATAATTCAGCAATTACATACACAATTTTAATAACATTCATCAAATTACCACCAAATTGTTCAAAGATCACCATATATAGTCCAAACTCAAAAGGTTGCAAAATAAGTACATATACATTAAGTTGATTTGTCAGATTAATGAATATTTACATATAATTTACAAAAAGATGCTTCTAATAACTAACGATCCTCATTTCTTCTTATGATGTGTTGATTATCCCATCTCAAATTCATTACCTCTGAAATATGTAGTGTGCGCTTATAAGATGTGAAAGTAAGTTTGCAATTGTGGTAGGTAAGAGATGATGGGGGAGATATTAGTGGTGGAGTTACTAATGATAAATAAGAACTAAGATTAAAAGAGGAGGGTGACATTGGAAAAGAGAATGATGACATATGAGAACAATGAGAATGCAGTGATGGCAGGGAAGGAAAAGGCGAAAGATATCGCAGAGGAAGAGATGGTGGCAGAGGAGGAGGAGGAGTAGTCAATTGCGGAGCCAGAATTATTAATTTTTTTTTAGGGGGGGGGGGCGGGGGAATAAATTTCAGATGTTTAATAATTTAACAAAAATCTAAACAAAAAATGATCACGTGAGTTGTTTAATATTTATTTGAAATCGCATATGATAGTATTCCTATATGGTAAAGGAATAAATTTTTGTTTGTAACCCCAATTACAAAAGTAGCAAATCCTATTCATAGGCTACAACCACCAAACCATGCTTATGTTTGTGATATAAAATAAATAAGTAATTTATTTATTCTTTTTTTACTGCATCTGTTTAAACTAAAGAAAATAAGTTTTTTTCCCCTTTGTTTTTATGTGGCTCCGCCAGTGGTAGTAGTAGTAATAGTAAAGTAACAACAGATTGCGGGGATCAAGAGGGGAAGAGGAGATGGGAGTGGATGAAGAGGTGGAAAAGCTAGGAGATGGATCATGGGAGGGACAAGATGACCTAATATCATTAAATGTGGTGGAAAATCTATGTACGATGACAAGATGTAGGTAGGGAGGAGGGAGAGTGAAGTGGCGGGCGAGAAAATACGGAAGATTTATGTAACACCATAATAATAGCTTTAAGTTCGACACCAAATCTTATATGTGGCTAGTCAAACTCTATGACCAGCCAATATATAAGATTTGATATAATAACCCAAATGAAAAAAGCAACCCAACTTTCGACGGAGTTGACGGATTCCAGAGGGCGTAATTTTGCAGGATTCATTCAACTTCAAGATCCTCCTATCCTAAATATGAGTAGTGAAATCATTGTAGAAATGCTGGTATTGCAGCTTATGAATAGTGGAGTACCGAATTTGCCCTTTACGCGAAAGTACATTGCTGCCCTCAACTGTGAGTTGTTGTCTTACCCTTCGTCCCTTCCCTTCCTTTTCCTGGTTTTTCTCACTACCTTTCCTTTTCATGCTCCTCCTTCTCTTCTCTAATTCGCACACGTAAACTATGGCGGTGGTTGAATTCCTTTCTACGAAGTGTTTCTTCTGGGGTTTCAATCAGGGATTTGAGTTGATGCAAATAAAAGCTACAACAATGGAGGCTACCATCTAAGGTGATACTCCGTATTATTTAAACTCGGATTTGTTTGAGCCTCTCTCATTTGTTTTTAGGTTAATTCGAGCGGATATCAATTTTACTATAATTAAAGGGCAGTACTTCAATTTTAGGTGTTTGCAAGAAGGTGCTTTGACCCACCATAGGATTCTTTTATAGGAAGCCACCTGATCGGCTTCTCGAAATTTCTGACCGAGTTTTCGGTTAGTTTTCTGAATTTAATGTGGCTAATTATTTGTGCAATTGGTTAAATTTTTTTTGGGTTGTTTGAATTATGGGTTTGGTTTAATGGGTTGGTTTTGATTTTCTGTTATAATGTATGTAAGTGTTTAATTTTGTTGATCATTGAGCTGAAATGCTTCAATTTATGTTGATTTTGATGCAATCTGAGGGGTTGTTAGGGTTAGATTTAGTTTTCATTTCTGGGTTTTTATGTCATTGTCATTTTTAGGTTGTTGGCATTTGACATTGCGATGTAGCTTGCTGCTTGCATAATTGAACTGGTTTTTTCGCTTGCATTCGACTTCTTGATACGGTTTTCGTTGTTTTAGCTACGAAGAGCTGATTGTTAGGGTATATCTGCGGATATTAGAGGTTTTATGTAACATGAACTTTTAATGTAGTTCTCATTTTAAATGTCGTTCAATTAGTGTAGGATTCTTGCTTCTCTGCTTAGAAGAGAATGAGGATGAGGAAACTTTATGAACTTACGAACTTATACCTGGTTTCTCTTTAGTTAGCCTCTTTCTGTTAGTTGAGCATGTTTAATTGTTCGTTTACATTCAATTCTGCAAAAGGGTTTATCTTAAGCTGGGTTCGTTTGCAATGGTAAATTGGATCGTTGTTCCTTTTCAGTGTTTGATTGCTGCTTCTCCACGGATGTGTTGAATGAAGATGAGTACACAGAATACCTTGGTGGTATTGTAACACAGCTACAGGACTATTACCCAGATGCCTCATTCATGGTGTTTAACTTTAGAGAAGGGGATCGAAGGAGTCATATTGCTGATAGATTGTCTGATTATGATATGACGGTTATGAAATATCCTCGTCAATATGAGAAATGTCCTTTGCTTCCCCTGGAAATGGTCCACCACTTCCTGTGCTCCAGTGAGAGCTGGCTGTCGTTGGAGGGACAGCAAAATGTATTGCTGATGCACTGTGAAAGAGGTGGCTGGCCTGTCCTTGCTTTAATGCTTACAGGTCTTCTTTTATACAGAAAGAACTATTCCGGCGAGCAAAAAACACTTGAAATGGTCTACAAGCAGGCCTCGAGGGAACTACTTCAGCTTTTGTCTCCTTTAGATATCTTCAGTGTATATCCCGAAGAAGTTTGTTTAGGCTCTGATTGGCCTCCTTCTGACACTCCTCTCATTCTAGATTGTTTAATACTTAGAGTCCTTCCTTTGTTTGCTGGGGGTAAAGGCTTAGTACATTATCATATTATGTGTTTCAGGGTGAGAAATATGGCAAGATTATAGCAATGTGTGCCCATGATCCTGAATTCCATCACTACACAGAGCTCAATGAACTTCCTCCTCACCGCCTTGCTGAAATCTGCTGTTTTTTTTTTTTTTTTTTTTTTTTTTTTTTTTTTTTTTTTTTTTGAAGACTGTATCCTGTGCCTGTCATTTTAGACCTCTAGAGATTATTGGTCCCATTTTATAACTTTTATTTCTCTTCTACTTCCATATAAGGTTGCCTTCACAGAAATCATGGATAAGAAGAACGAGAATAAGAGTGCTGCAGTGAATTATTTTCTGCCAGCTGTAGATGCGATTGCTGCCATCAAATATTCAATGTGAGATTCTAACTTTGTGATAATAATACATGATTCTGCAATCCCTTTAGTCTCCAACTCTCCACTGCTTTTTCCCTCTCATATTGGACATCAATAATGACTTGTGTTTGCTCTGCTGTGTATGATTAGCAACCATGGGGAATACTCTTTACTGCAATTCTGCTGGGGTGTACTTTTTACTGCACACATTGCAAAGGCATATGAGACTAATTAGAGTCACTTAAGTGTTAACTAGAGCCTATGGGGAATAAATGACAGGTTTCTAGGAGATACCAATCTTCTTGCAGTTGATTAACTTTGGTTTTCTAGGTTTTGATTATAATGTTCATTCAATTTGAATTGGTTGGATCAGGGAATTTTGGTTGGTTTGACTTTGTGTTGATTTAATTTGCTTATCTTTGATGAAAGTGTATGATCTTACAAATAGATGCAATTTAGTGGAATTTGTAGTTGAAAATATTAAATGAATGTGACAAAAATGCAAGTTAGTTCGTTGTTATTTATTATATGCTTATGCCCTCTGATTAAATGGGACTTCCACATGTTTTGATGTGGTTTGTATTTTTTTTTTTTTTTTTTCTGGAATTGCAGCTCAAACTAGATGAAATTGCCGTTGTTGTGAAGGGTTTCAAGGAGCCCGAAACCCTTACACCGACTAGGTTACACCTTGGTGGAGCCAAGTACATATTTATTAAACATGAACCTGAGGCTGTTATTCGCGGAAAGAAGGTACAGTATAATATTGGTTGATTCCTTATGTTTGCCAAATTTTTAATAAAAAATAGTTAATGTTTATAGGTCATGTATTGTTTTCTACATCAAAATGTCAATTAATAGTTTTGGTTACCTTTTCTTGAATGCGAGTGACATCTATCTTTGGGTGGAATGTGTTTGTGAACTACTATGATCTTATTGTTACAGAGTTGAAGTTGCGCTTTAATAGTAAAACATTTTGGCAGACTTTTACATTAAATTGCTTTGATGCATTTGATCATTCTTTAGTTTCTAACTTGGTGATTGGTAATGTATTTCATGTAATAGATGTCTTGGATTGCATCATAATCAAAACCTAGGTATACAGGCACCAAAGTGGTCTAAATCAAACTCTCTCTAACTCATTCTCACTTTCTCTCTGCTCTCAGACAAAGACGACGGTGACTTCATTCTTCTGGTAATTTCATCGTTTTTGTATTCATTTGTTCATTTCTAGGTTTCCTGAATATTTTTCGATTTTTTGTTTGTAATTTATTCGATTTTTGTTGTTGATTTTGCGAGCTTTATTGTACTTCTGTTTTTGTGAGGTTATTGTGTGCTTGTTATGTCTTGATTTCACTTTTTTAAAAGTTAATGGTATAGACCGTTATTTCTGTAATTTGCATGTACACATACAATAGCTATGTTAATAGACTGGAATGAGATGATATAACTATACCTACCCAGATGAAATGGACAGTGAAATCATGGTCTACAATGACTTCATTTATTTTAGTATTATTAATTATACCTGCCAATTATATTAATTTTATTTTCCATAGGAATAATATGTTAGGTTGTGGCCCTTTCATATCTAACTTCCAAATATTTCACTCTAGAATTCGTGAGAAATCGCTCCCATTTGTGCTCAATCTATCTTGTTTTTTCTTTTATCGAAGGTGATTCCTGGGTTCAGTTTAATCTATTGTGTTGGCAATGTGTTAATTGTTTTTAAGCCCAAACTTTTTTCCTTGTCTTACTATAAAATTCTCGGTTATTAATTTAATGATATACATACCCATATAAGCATTAAATATATTATTAAAATGTTATAGGTTTGAGAATATATTATAAATCACATGTTAATTGGTGTTATTAATGCTTAATAAATTTTAAACTTCCCTTTTTAGTTTTGTTATGTGTTATCATTTTCATATAATTTTGAATATTTTTCTACTTTTGAAATTGCAGATGACTGATGCTCTTTGCAAGAGGTGCAGTGTGAGAAAAGTTAGTCTTGTAGATAACTAGATATCATACAAGCTGGTCATGGTGATCACTATCAGGTCAGTATGATTCCTGAGAATCTAATCAATTTTAAAGCCATGGGTGCATTTATAGATATTGTGCTTAGGTCATTGGTCAAGCTTAACAGAGGCCACCGACTATAGTAATTCCCCAGGAAAATGACCATTCAAGATTAACATTCATAAAGATAAACAGCGTCTGGTTTAGGTAGGTTTAATTGAGGTCTGACATTACAAGTGAGATATTACAGGAGATTCAAAAGATTTTAATGTCCAAAGATAAGTTGGTTCAATGCTTGAATTGATAGGTTTGGTTCCTGAAGGTGTTGATGTGATGGCCATCTGCTGATTGTAGAAGTAGGCTGTGCATATTCCTAAAGAAGGGTTTTATTGATCATGAAAGGTCTGCTAGATTCAATGATGGGAAGCAATTAGGCTCCTCAAACCGTCATGTCAGGTTACCGAAAAATCTCAGTAGTTTACAAAACATGAAGGGGAGGAATTGAGTGTAAAGATAGACCTATCCACTTAGCTTATCCAGCAAGGATTCTAAATGATAATTGGTGTCAACATAAATGATGTGTAGCTCAAAAAAGTTCTTCAGTTAAAATGGCATGCCTCTTGACTAGAGTAGAAGGACTAAGGTCTAGCTGAAGGTGTATCTTAAAATGAAGCCATAAAAAAATTCAGTCTGAAGTGTGGGAAAGACACATGCGCTATATGTTCTGTTACAGAAGCTTGGAAAAGCAATGTAGATAAATGCCTTGAAATTCGGAATAGATTAGTCTTTATCACCCTGGTTTCAATGTGGAGGGGGTTTAGTATTCTTCATATGTCTAGCTTTGTTCAGTTTTTCAATTCTAAATAATCAACAACAAAAATGACACGAACTCCCTTTCCTGTTTATGATCCATACTTCTTTCAATTCCCACCTTTCAGGCTTTCATATGATTTTACTGTTTCTTATATTTCTACTGACATTATTTTATTTCATCCCAGACGGATGACTTGCAGGATCATATTATTATATGTGGATTTGGACATGTAGGCCAGGTGAACATCATTGTTATAAATTATTAAGTTTCTGAAATCTATCATGAGCTTTGCATCTTTTTGCTTTCTCCCTCCCTGTGATCTTGCTTCTTTCCTGCAGATCATAGCTCAGCTCCTGTAAGAACGTTTGATACCATTTGTTGCCCTTGATGTTAGAGGTAAACTTATACTCATTTTAGATATGTACCAAATATTGCTGGATCTCCTTTAAAGTAATGTGTATGATCATGGTTAGCATTACATATATTGCTCTTTCTCTTGCCCACATCCCTCTTAGCTGAGACCTTTAAGCACTGGGTTTATTCTTATTTGATCTTTTTTTCCTAGGGAAGACGATACTGCTTCGTTCTTTTTTGGGTCTTAATGCAGAAAAACTAGATATCACATACTTGACATATCATGGAAATAATATGCTTCTCAAGTAGTCACTGATCACAATAATATGATAAATGTATTTGATCCTCTAGGGAAGCAAGCTTGAAAATTTTAGCTGCTGACAAATGTGTGTGTGTGTGTATGCGCGTGCGTATGTGGAGGCGAAATAAGCATGAAATTACTCTGCTAGGGCTGTAGCAATTATTCTTTTTGTCTTAAAGATGACAAACTATGCATGAAAATCTAGGCAAACATCCAAGAAATGAAAATACAGGTTATGTTTAGTACAATTATACACGAGAAGCATACGAAGTAATAAGGAATCAAGGGCCTTTAGAAATTTGCAATAGTCATTACTGTTCCAAAATTTTACTTATTTGTGTTGTTAAGTGTACCTCACATTGAAATATGAGTTTAGTCACACTTCATAGCAATTATTTTGTACACATTTCGATGAACAGGTTGATAATATAGTTTAGAGACCATTACTGCTTTCTTATGCCTTACTGAGGATAAAAGCCTCTTCAGATGCATGGATGTTGATGTTATTTGACTGGTGGAAGGTCAAAGTGTATGCTAGCTACTTTATGCTTCTATTATGTCTCTTATGCTTATGTTTTTGATCAGTTTTGTCGTAATTATTATCTTCTGCTTTTGATTTTGCTGCTTTTCCTTTTGATTTCGTGTATAATTATTCCCGGATATCGCAGATTTGACCTTTGGATTCGGCAAAGATGGTGTCATTTGAGATGGGTGATAGAAAAAGTAAGCGTATACTTCTTTTTTTGGATATAAATTGTTGTTAATATTAATACACTTTTTAAGAATTTTTAATTGATGTTAACGAGTTAGTTTTAGCTATTGTATTTAAATCATGCTTATGCAAATTGGGATGCTGCTGAGATTGTGAATTAGATTAATGGCAGATTGGCGTTAATTGGGTTTGACTACAACTCTAATTGCTGTTAATTGAGTTGATTGTTGCTATTGTTTTTATATCATGCTTATGTGATTTGGTATGCTGCTAAGATTTAAATTCAATATTGCGGTGGATCGTGGCAGTGAATTGTGGCAATGAACTGGGTTTGACTATCACTCTAATTGCTGTTTTTTGAGTTGATTTCAAATCATGCTTGTGATTTCGGATGCCCGATAACTTGGTGGATCATGGTGGTAAATTGGGTTGAGTTTCTGGATTGTTGCCATAGTTCCTAATCATAAATGGAGAATTTAGGGCCAAATTAGGAGGAAGGGATTGTTGTTTGCAACTCTTTATTAACTGCTTGCTGTTGATATGTATTTTCAACTTGGGGACAGGAATTTAGTTTTGGAGAGGACTGTGGATCTTTGGGTCAAATCTGTTGATCTCTTTCCTGATTATGATCTAAATCGTCTATTGCGAGACTATAGGTTTGTGTTTAAAATCCAAACTTGGGGACAACAGTCCTATCCAAGTGATAAATTTACAAATCATGTGTTTTCAATTAAGACCTTAAGAGTGACAATTCCATGGGGAGGGATATCATAGAACAGAGCTTTTTACTACTTGGTGCTATGTATCAAGTGGCCGTGCACTTGATCTTCCTGTATATTTTGGAGATGCTGGAAGTCGTGAGGTACAACAAATTTCCAAGCTATTCAAGCTTGTTGCATATTCTCATTTAAAAATCTTTAATATTTTGTGTTTATTTACTTCATAAGGTTGGGGCTGAAAGAGCTTGTGCTGCAGCAATAACATTGGACACTCCTGGACTCCTGGTGCAAATTATAGAACTGTTTGGGCTTTGAGCAAGCACAACCCTTGACCAATGATCTGCCACTATTAAGCTTGACCAATTTTACCTGGTGGACTTGTTTGGAATAAGAAACTACAATAATTCAATATATAGACATTGGTTGCTTATCTCTTATTTACTTGGACTTTATGGAACTCCTGAGCTCTTTATATCATATTTTGTTCATGAGAACAGCTGGGATTGTTTTTTGTTTAATAATATTTGGCATTGATTTCTATAGAAGTTAATTCTATACACAAGGAATTAGGTTCTCATTTCTTAATAGATATCTTGATTTGAACTTGAATTCCTTCCACCAAAATATTCTGGAATTATATCTTTTCCTGCAATCAAAGCATCAAAATCTATTTTAAGCAATCTTTAAAAGGTTTATATGTCATATTTTTAGTAAGCTCATAAATTTTTCTCTTACCTTGTCTAGCCATTGCTGGTTGTTAATTTATGTTTTGTATTTTAATAGCTAATCTATTTGTGCTATGGCGAAATTGCCTCAGTATTCATTGTCGACTCTTGACTTTGTTTTGAGAGGTCTTATTCCAACTAAGTTTGAGTTTTGAAATTGAATCACTTTTCCCTATTCATCTGATTCACACAATACAGTCTCAAAAGGCTAACAATTTGTTTGATTTATATTGTAGATAAATACAGTTGTTTATGAAATACAGTTTGTGCATAACTGTTATTTCTTTAAACTTCCTCTCCCAATTTTCTATCATCGACTACCAAGCAAAGGAGTTTCTTGCTGCTTTGAATCTGGTTCTAATAAAGGTATACAACACGTAAGCAATAAATAATTTATATTAATTATATTCAGTTTAAGATCTAAAATGAATGTTTTTTATTAAAAAAATGTATAATTCATGGGATTATAGGTTCTATCTGTTTTAATTAGTTTGATTTTATGGAGATTTGAGTCTTTTGTTATAGTTAAATAATGGGATAATGGATTCAATTTGTGTGTTATTATTAATGAAATCGGCTTTAATGGCGAAAAAATTTAAATTGTCTAAACCGTTTACACTTTTCGTTTTTTTTTTTTTTTTTTTTTTTTTTTTTTTTTTTTTTTTTTTTTTTTTTAAGATTACTAATGTGTTTGTGTAATTAAATCTTTAGTTTTGATTATTCTATTGTTGTTGCAGGGATAAGAAAATTTATATGGCTTTAAAGGAGAAAAAACTCTTCTATACAATGGGGATTGATTTAAAGATACGAAATAGAATTAAATCGGAGTTGGGTGTTCAAATTTTAAACTGAAGCTATAGAGTTAATTGATATAGGAGCATTTATTTATTTTTACTATGTTAGTTATTGTACGTCGATTTTCGTTTTTTTAAGTTTCAACTTGTGAATTTTATGTATGATAATAAAGCTCATTTAGTTTGAACTTCTATTGAATCATAAGTTTAGATTTCTTCTCACCAAAAAAAAAAAAAGAAATTAGTTTATTATTTCTTCATTCGGATTTTATTATTCTCTATGTTTCAATTTGTATACAAAATTTTAAATTGATTTATGTTTTCAAAGTATGATTGGTCGCAAATAACGATGACCCTATAAAGGGGTAGCAAATAGTTTTTTTTTTTTTTAATAAAAAAAATAGGAAGAATAATGAACAGTTGTTATATCATTACAGAACGGTTAAGTAGGATATACGTTGCATATTCCTTCTTTATTTTAGAATTATTGGAAGGGAAAAGAGAACGGTAAATTGATTAATAATATATTTAGAACAAAAAATTCAACATTTAGAATCATGATGGAGGGGGAGGGTGTGGGAGATAAAAAGGACAAGAAGAGGGAGAGAGACAGGGGGGGGGGGGGAGGGGAGAGGGAGAGTAAGGAAGAGAGAGAGAGAGAGAGAGAAAGGGATATGGGAGAAAGCGAGAGAGGAGCATGGATAGAAGGATGTGTCAAGAGAGAAGAAGCCAAATTAGATAAGGGCCGGGAATGAGATAGGGGATCGAGATAGATAAAAGGTTCATGAGATAGAAAAGGGCTGAGGGATAGAGGGCAAGTTAGGAGAGGATAGGAGGGGGCACACCTAAAGCGGAGAAAGGTCAGGAGAGAGAGAAAGAAAGTGGGGTTAAGAGAGAGAGAAAGATAGAAAGAGGGGTAGGGACAGAGACAGAGAGTGAGAAAAAGGGTCCGGGAGTGAGGAGCTGGAGGAAGAGAGAAAGATAGAAGGAGGAGTTAGGAAAAAAAGCGAGTGAAATAAATAAAGATAGAATGAAAAACAGGGCCACGAGAGAGCGATAAGGGTTGAAAGAGAAAGAAATAGAGCAATAAAGGAAAAGAGGGGCTGGGAGAGTGAGAAGAAGGCCCGAGAGAGAAAGAGATAAAGAGGTTGGGAGAGAGAGACAAATAAAGAGAAGTTAAGAAAACTAAAGGGGACTGGGGAGAAGGGGGGGGGGGGTTGGGGGGAAAGGAAGCAAGTGTAATCTATAATTTTCAAAGCCTTTTAGAGGATGGAATAGGGACAAGAAAAATTAGAAAGAAAGAAAGAGACTAAGAGAAAGAGTATAGGGCCATGGGCGCGCTAATAAAGGAATGAATGAGTGATATGGGAACAAGTTTGATCTATAATTTTTAGAGCCATAAAGAAAAGTGTGTGCGGGGAAAGAGATAGAGATAGAGATAGAGAGAGAGGGGGGGGGGATTTAGGCAACAAAGGAAGGAAGAGGTGAGAAACAGTTCAAGAGACCATTTTGAGTGTTTAATTGTGGAAGAGACTAAGAAGCTATGGAGGAGGAAATGGAGAAAAAAAAATGGGAATATGAAATAAAGAAGGCAAAATGGCGATGGGTTTAAAGGAAGGAGAAAAGGATGAAAAACTCTTTAAAGAATCATCTTTAGTAGTAATCAAGGAGTAGGTAAACAATACTTTCCAAAAAGATTTTAAATAATTTTGTAAAATCATATAAGTCAAGTATTAAAATGTAAAGGAAGATGGAAAAAGGTGAGACTAAATTATACCCACCAAATTATTGATATGTCTATTTTATATAGTGATTTACCCCCGTCCCTTGATCATGTTTTGGAGTATTTTTGGCTCTACGGAGCCACTTTTATTACTAATATGCATTTTCTAGTGTTTTCGTAGTTTTGGTATTATTTTATAGGAAATTACGAATTTGGAGCATTTTCCCGGACTTATTTGAGCCACTACGAGCATTGGAGTAGGATCGCATTATTATGACCATATTTCGTAGCTTAAGACCGCGTTGGAGCAATCAAACCGGTGATTAAGGGCTCGGTGAAGAAGAAGAGTTCGAGGCATTGGACCGAGTTATAAAGACCTGAAAAGGAAATCCGGATTTGGGTCAAGAAAAATAGCCCAAATCGAAAGAGTCCATGTTGCCTGATTGCTCGCCCGAACGGGGAGTGCCTTCGCCCTGAGGCGCGCCTAACTAGGCGAGGCAGATAGGAAGTATTAGCACTTTGCCCCGAAGCGCGCCCTACCGGGCGTGAGATGAGAATCCCACCAGCGAAGGCAGGCCCGGCCGGGAGCGTGTTTTTGAGGGACGATTAGCGTCTTTAGTCTTCGTTTAAGTTTAGGATTTCTAGCTTAAGTATAAATACGCTTTTCTAAGCAAGTGACGAGGACGTCTTTCACTAGTTAATTCCCATATTTTAGTTTTGAGCTTTTAGTTAATAATCTTGTTCTCTCAACACTTTTGGTTTAATGCAATTCCATTTTTTCGTTTATTTTGGTAACGATTCCTTTCCCTTTTATTTTCAGTAATTTAATTGCTTTGATTAAGCATGTCTTGTTTATTTGTTTTGCTTAGTTTAGATTTAAATATGTGTGAGTAGTTTTATTTCTAGGGTTGTGGGGATCCATAAGTAATATGAAGTGGTGATTTATAATTGTTGATTTTCAATGCTTTGGTTGATTTCCTATTGATTGATTTAACGCTATGCAATTAGATTAGGCCTGGTTTAATTGTATGAGTTATGCAATATTGATTTGAGATTCGAGAGACGAGAATTGATATTTAGGCTTAGTTCCAATAGGCAGGTTAATTTATAAATGGTTAAGTCAAGATTCGAGAAATGCGATTTAATACCGCTAGATTAATTCTGTGATTGTAATACGTAGCAAAAGCCCTTTATGATCTAATTAATTGATGCATTGATAATTGATTGTTGTGTTTATCCTGGAATATTGTTTATTGGTGAACCTATACCCTAGGCTTTGATTTATTAATTTCTCCCTAGTTTAATTTGCTTTAGTTTATTTATTCTCTTTAGTTAAATTCTAACATAAATAATTTGGTTACTTAATAGTTTAGATTATATTAATTATTTAGAAATAGAAAGACTTGTTACCCTTTGGATTCGACCCTATTTCCCTATCTACTTTAGTTAGAGGATTTAGGTAATTCTTTTGATTAGGAGATACGACTTTATCCTGTCAAAATTTGGCGTCGTTGCCGGGGAAATGATTCTATTTTTATTTCTGATTATTTTGGTAGTCTAGATTATTTTATTTCGTCTCAGAGAACACAAGTTCTTTGAGACAGTTTCTCATATTTGTTTGTTTAGTTCTGTGTTTATGCCCAGGAGTTCTAGATCAGGTTACATTCCATTCGAATCGAACGTTCTTTTCATAGACAGAAGAACCTTTTCAGACAAGTACGAGCCACTTCCGAGGGTAATATACCTTTGGAACCCCCATCAGATTCTAGCGACACAAAAATTTCTTTGGATTGAATAGGACTGCCCTTGGTATTACTGACTGGAATTCTCTTACTATGAATTTCCATAATAAATATTACGTTGCAGAGAGGACAGCTTTGTTAAGGAGTTCGATCCAATAATTTTCCCAAGAAGCAGATGAATCTTTATACGAAGCTTGAGAAAGATTTAAGGATTTGTAGAGAGAATGTCCCCATCATAGGCTAGCATAGTGGAAGATAATCTAAGCCTTCTACAACGGGCTTGGAAATTCATCCAGATCAATCCTAGACTCAGCAGCTAATGGAAGATTTATAAATCTTCAAGAAGATGTAGCAGGAACAGTTATCGAAGAGATGGAAATTCAAAATTCCCAATATAGGAATCCTAGAGGTTTTGCAAACAAAGGGAAACATAATGTCGATTCGGTATCCTTTGTGCAAGCTCAATTATCCTCTATTTGTTAGAAATTAGATAATATTAGTACTGCTATTCCTGCTTCCATGGCTAATGTTTCTGCTGTTAATAATACTAACGATGCTTTTTGTGAAAATTGTGGAATTGTAGGGCATTGGGCACAAGATTGTAGGAGTTCCATGGAGCAAGGTAATGCCTTCCAAGCCTATAGGCAAAATAACCCATACTATAACACTTTTAATCCTGGTCTCCGGAACCATCCAAATCTTTCCTACCGGAGTACTAATGTGCTAAACCCTTCACCTCCACAACAACCACAACAACAAGCCCCACAACAACCACAACAAAAATATTACCAACTGTTGGGTTTCGTAGTGTTTGTCACTATGCAGAATGAAACCCGCCTAAGACCCGCACACTAATTAATATAACTAAACATGCAATCACATAATTGAACAAAAAAAGAGAGAGAAAGAGAAAAGATGATCTTACCTTCGACGCGTGCTTCGCTCGCTTACGAGCTCTTATTTCAAAGCTCTAGCCTTGCAAGTGCGTAGGCCTCCGACGGCTTGCACCCTCAACCCGACCCAAGCGGTCTCTACCCTGAAGGTTAGTCGGGGCTAGACCAAAGAAAACTAGAGTATTAAGAACTTAAAGGTTTTCTTACTTTTAAGGAGATGCCTTATTGAGTTCAACTCAAGTGATTTTTCCCAAACCTAAAACTTGGGTATTTATAGGGAAGGGAGCCTTGATTTCCCATTTCCCATCAATGTGGGAGAATTGCATTTTGCTCAATTTATTTTAATCTAAAACAAATTAAAATGCAAATTGAATCAACAAGCACCAAGTGGAAAATGGTGAGTAAGGGTAGGTGAGGACCACTACAGGGGGAGGGGGGGACTAAAGCACCCCTAACTCCCCAAGAAATCCCCAAGGACTGGTCCCCTCCTTGGCCGTGAGCTGGCCACGCATAGCTGGCAGCCAGCATGCCTTGGCTGCCAAGGATGCCTAGCTGGTGCCTAGCACCTTGGCTGGGCTAGCTGGCCAGCCCGCATACGCACGCACGCACAGCCATAGCACACACGCGCATGGCACGATGCTTGCGATGCTCGTGCTGTGCGATGTGCGAGTGCTAGCGATGCCCACCATGCTAGCATGCAGACCTCACCTAGCCTAGCACTCGCATGGCTATGCCAATGCGAGGCTACGGCTTGGCTCGTACTTGTCTCTTGCTTGATTCCACGTCTCGTCGAATTCTAAATTCGACTCGACTTGTGACGCTCGATTTTGACGC